GGGAGAGTGACGGGGAGAGTGACGGGGAGAGTGATGGGGAGAGTGACGGGGAGAGTGAAGGGGAGAGTGACGGGGAGAGTGACAGGGAGAGGGAGAGTGACGGGGAGAGTGACAGGGAGAGTGACGGGGAGAGTGACAGGGAGAGTGACGGGGAGAGTGACGGGAAGAGTGACGGGGAGAGTGACGGGGAGAGTGACGGGGAGAGTGACGGGGAGAGTGACGGGGAGAGGGACGGGGAGAGTGACGGGGAGAGTGACGGGGAGAGTGACGGGGAGAGTGACGGGGAGAGTGACGGGGAGAGTGACGGGGAGAGTGAGAGGGAGAGTGACGGGGAGAGTGACGGGGAGAGTGACAGGGAGAGTGACGGGGAGAGTGACAGGGAGAGTGACAGAGAGAGTGACGGGGAGAGTGACGGGGAGAGTGACGGGGAGAGTGACGGGGAGAGTGACGGGGAGAGTGACAGAGAGAGTGACGGGGAGAGTGACAGGGTGAGGGAGAGTGACGGGGAGAGTGACGGGGAGAGTGACGGGGAGAGTGACGGGGAGAGTGACGGGGAGAGTGACAGGGTGAGGGAGAGTGACGGGGAGAGTGACGGGGAGAGTGACAGGGAGAGTGACGGGGAGAGTGACGGGGAGAGTGACAGGGAGAGTGACAGGGAGAGTGACAGAGAGAGTGACGGGGAGAGTGACGGGGAGAGTGATGGGGAGAGTGACGGGGAGAGTGACGGGGAGAGTGATGGGGAGAGTGACAGAGAGAGTGACGGGGAGAGTGACGGGGAGAGTGACGGGGAGAGTGACGGGGAGAGTGATGGGGAGAGTGACGGGGAGAGTGACAGGGAGAGTGACAGGGAGAGTGACGGGGAGAGTGACAGGGAGAGTGAGAGTGCGAGTGAGTGGGTGGGTGAGTCAGCGAGTGTGTGCGTAAGTGGGTGGATGAGTAGACGTGAGTGAATGAGTGAGTAATTGGGTGAGAGAGTGAGCGAGTGGGTGAGTAAGTGGGTGGGTTGGTGAGTGGATGGGTGGATGGGTGGGTGGATGAGTGGGTGGGTGAATGGGTGAGTGGGTGAGTGAGTGGGCAAGCGAGTGGGTGAGTGGATGAGTGAGTTAACGAGTGAGTGTGTGAGTGGGTACGTGAGTGGATGAGTGTGAGTAGATGCGTGAGTGGGTGGATGAGTGAGTGGGCGGGTGAGCGAGTGCGTGAGCGAGTGGGTGAGTGGATGAGTGAGTTAACAAGTGAGTGTGTGAGTGGGTACGTGAGTGGATGAGTGAGTGAGTAGATGCGTGAGTGGGTGGATGAGTGAGTGGGCGGGTGAGCGAGTGGGTGAGCGAGTGGGTGAGTGGATGAGTGAGTTAACGAGTGAGTGTGTGAGTGGGTACGTGAGTGGATGAGTGAGTGAGTAGATGCGTGAGTGGATGAGTGAGTGAGCGGGTGAGCGAGTGGGTGAGTGGATGAATGAGTGAGTGAGTAGATGCGTGAGTGCGTGAGTGAGTGAGTGAGCGGGTGAGTGGGTGAGTGCTGTTGCCGCCGCAGAGCCAACACCGGTGACAATTGCCTGAACCGGTGCTGGGCTTCCGATAGGTGGACTCAGCCTGAAATGAGTACCTGGTGCGGTGTGTAAACATCGCCACTGGGGAGACAAAGGCGGTCGGGCGTGGTGCTGGCCACCCACCCCATCGTGTACCGTTCCGGCCTTCACAGGTGCTCGCTAACGGCACTTGCCCCAGCAGTCTGTTGAGGCTACACGGGGGATCTTTGTCTTTGGTGGTGTGGTCACCTTGACGAGCTCGAAGGGGAAGCGCTCGTGGAAGACGCGGTTGATGCGGGCGCCCCCCGAGAGCTCAAAGGTGTCCACCTGGTCGCCCGATCCCTCGATCCGCTTCTCAAAGTCCACCCCAAACTGCTGCACCATCCTGAGACACGCGCGCACCACACACACCACACACACACCACACACCCCACACACACACACACACCACACACCACACACCACACACACACCACACACCACACACACACCACACACCACACACCACACACACCACACACACCACACCACACACCACACACACCACACACACACCACACGCACCACACCACACACACCACACACACACCACACACACCACACACACACCACACACACCACACACCACACACATACCACACACGCACGCACCACACACACCACACGGGCGTACACCACACACACGCACGCACCACACGCGCACACCACACACACACCACACACACACGCACCACACGCACACACGTCCATAAATGCGTGTGTAGTGATATAGAATAAGCGGTGTAGCAGCATAGCGCTGGCTGCTGGCGGGGAAGGGGATCTGCAGCTTACAGCAGCCCTGACGTCAGCAGGCCACGTGACACACGAGGGGGGGGCTCTAGGGGGAAAGGTCACGGAAGGGGCACACCGAGAATCCGCTGGAAGGTTCTAGAAAAGGGGGCGTGGCCGGGGGCGGAGCCGGGGGGCGGAGCCAGGAGGTCCACTCCAGGGGGCTGTCAGCGTGGAGTGGGGGGATCCTCGTCGAGGTGCTGAAGTCTTCGTCACCGTCCTTCTCATCGTCTTCACCGTCCTTCTCATCGTCTTCACCGTCATCGTCTTCACCGTCCTTCTCATCGTCTTCACCGTCCTTCTCATCGTCTTCACCGTCCTTCTCATCGTCTTCACCGTCCTTCTCATCGTCTTCACCGTCCTTCTCATCGTCTTCACCGTCCTTCTCATTGTCTTCACCGCCCTTAACGTCGTCTTCACCGTCCTTCTCATCGTCTTCACCGTCCTTCTCATCGTCTTCACCGTCCTTCTCATCGTCTTCACCGTCCTTCTCATCGTCTTCACCGTCCTCCTCATCGTCTTCACCGCCCTTCACGTCGTCTTCACCGTCCTTCTCATCGTCTTCACCGTCCTTGTCGTCGTCTTCACCGTCCTTCTCACCATCTTCACCGTCCTTATTATCGTCTTCACCGTCCTTCTCATCGTCTTCACCGTCCTTCTCATCGTCTTCACCATCCTTCTCATCGTCTTCACCGCCCTTCTCATCGTCTTCACCGTCCTTCTCATCGTCTTCACCGTCCTTCTCATCGTCTTCACCGCCCTTCTCATCGTCTTCACCATCCTTCTCATCGTCTTCACCGTCCTTCTCATCGTCTTCACCGTCCTCCTCATCGTCTTCACCGTCCTTCTCATCGTCTTCACCGCCCTTCTCATCGTCTTCACCGTCCTTCTCATTGTCTTCACCGTCCTTCTCATCGTCTTCACCGTCCTTCTCATCGTCTTCACCGTCCTTCTCATCGTCTTCACCATCCTTCTCATCGTCTTCACCATCCTTCTCATCGTCTTCACCGTCATTCTTGTCGTATTCACCATCCTTCTCATCGTCTTCACCGTCCTTCTCATCGTCTTCACCATCCTTCTCATCGTCTTCACCATCCTTCTCATCGTCTTCACCATCCTTCTCATCGTCTTCACCATCCTTCTCATCGTCTTCACCGTCATCGTCTTCACCATCCTTCTCATCGTCTTCACCGTCCTTCTCATCGTCTTCACCATCCTTCTCATCGTCTTCACCGTCCTTCTCGTCGTCTTCACCGTCCTTCTCATCGTCTTCACCGTCCTTCTCATCGTCTTCACCGTCCTTCTCGTCGTCTTCACCGTCCTTCTCATCGTCTTCACCGTCCTTCTCATCGTCTTCACCGTCCTTCTCATCGTCTTCACCGTCCTTCTCATCGTCTTCACCATCCTTCTCATCGTCTTCACCGTCCTTCTCATCGTCTTCACCGCCCTTCTCATCATCTTCACCGTCCTTCTCATCGTCTTCACCGTCCTTCTCATCGTCTTCACCGTCATCATCTTCACTGCTCTTCTCATCGTCTTCACCGTCCTTCTCATCGTCTTCACCCGTCATCGTCTTCACCGTCCTTCTCATCGTCTTCACCGTCCTTCTCATCATCTTCACCGTCCTTCTCATCGTCTTCACCGTCCTTCTCATCGTCTTCACCGTCCTTCTCATCATCTTCACCGTCCTTCTCATCGTCTTCACCGTCCTTCTCATCGTCTTCACCGTCCTTCTCATCGTCTTCACCGTCCTTCTCATCGTCTTCACCGTCCTTCTCATCGTCTTCACCGCCATTCTCATCGTCTTCACCGTCCTTCTCATCGTCTTCACCGTCATCGTCTTCACCGTCCTTCTCATCGTCTTCACCGTCCTTCTCATCGTCTTCACCGTCATCATCTTCACTGCTCTTCTCATCGTCTTCACCGTCCTTCTCATCGTCTTCACCGTCATCGTCTTCACCGTCCTTCTCATCGTCTTCACCGTCCTTCTCATCGTCTTCACCGTCATCATCTTCACTGCTCTTCTCATCGTCTTCACCGTCCTTCTCATCGTCTTCACCGTCCTTCTCATCGTCTTCACCGTCATCATCTTCACTGCTCTTCTCATCGTCTTCACCATCCTTCTCATCGTCTTCACCGTCATCGTCTTCACCATCCTTCTCGTCGTCTTCACCGTCATCGTCTTCACCGTCCTTCTCATCGTCTTCACCGTCCTTCTCGTCGTCTTCACCGTCATCGTCTTCACCGTCCTTCTCATCGTCTTCACCATCCTTCTCATCGTCTTCACCGTCCTTCTCATCGTCTTCACCATCCTTCTCATCGTCTTCACCGTCCTTCTCATCGTCTTCACCGTCATCGTCTTCACCGTCCTTCTCATCGTCTTCACCGTCCTTCTCATCGTCTTCACCGTCCTTCTCGTCGTCTTCACCGTCCTTCTCATCGTCTTCACCATCCTTCTCATCGTCTTCACCGTCCTTCTCATCGTCTTCACCATCCTTCTCATCGTCTTCACCGCCCTTCTCATCGTCTTCACCGTCTTTGTCATTGCCTTCACCGTCCTTCTCATCGTCTTCACTGCTCTTCTCATCGTCTTCACCGTCCTTCTCATCGTCTTCACCACCCTTCTCATCGTCTTCACCGTCCTTCTCATTGTCTTCACCGTTCTTCTCATCGTCTTCACCGTCCTTCTCATCGTCTTCACTGCTCTTCTCATCGTCTTCACCGTCCTTCTCATCGTCTTCACCGTCCTTCTCATCGTCTTCACCACCCTTCTCATCGTCTTCACCATCCTTCTCATCGTCTTCACCACCCTTCTCATCGTCTTCACCGTCATCGTCTTCACCGTCCTTCTCATCGTCTTCACCGTCATCGTCTTCACCGTCCTTCTCATCGTCTTCACCGTCATCATCTTCACTGCTCTTCTCGTCGTCTTCACCGTCCATCTCGTCGCCAGTCAGTAACGTCGCCGACAAGAGACGGACTCACGACATAACTATGAAGTGTGAACCCTGATGATGCTTGTTAATAAAGAAGCGACCTACAATGCCTACCGCCTCTGAGTTAGTCACTACACATGTCCGTATGGACGTTGAACTTCTTTCGCACTGTGCGTAGCCAACCGTTGCTAATGTGAGGTGCGGGGGTCGAACAACAAACTGAACACAACAACAGCAGCAAGCAGTCTATGGTGCAGTGTTGAGTCTACGGTGCAGTGTTGAGTCTATGGTGCAGTGTTGAGTCTATGGGGCAGTGTTGAGTCTATGGGCAGTGTTGAGTCTACGGTGCAGTGTTGAGTCTATGGTGCAGTGTTGAGTCTATGGGGCAGTGTTGAGTCTATGGGCAGTGTTGAGTCTATGGTGCAGTGTTGAGTCTATGGTGCAGTGTTGAGTCTATGGTGCAGTGTTGAGTCTATAGTGCAGTGTTGAGTCTGTGGTGCAGTGTTGAGTCTATGGTGCAGTGTTGAGTCTATAGGCAGTGTTGAGTCTATGGGCAGTGTTGAGTCTATGGTGCAGTGTTGAATTTATGGTGCAGTGTTGAGTCTATGGTGCAGTGTTGAGTCTACGGTGCAGTGTTGGGTCGATGGGCAGTGTTGGTCTTGCGCGTGGGTTTAGGATTTATAATTGTGGTTAGGTTAGGGGTTACGAGTTAGCGTTGGGGGTTAGGGGTTAGGTTGGGGCAGGGCTCACTGCAGTAACGCCTTCGTCTTGCGCGTGGGGTCATCGGGCGAGAAGTGCTTGTACTCCTCCGCCTCCTTCTCCAGCGCCAGCAGCTGGCTCTGCAGACGGTTCCTGAGCGCCGGCAGAGTGTCCCTGATGTGGTTCGTGAGTTGCTGCGCACAGGAGGAGGGAGCCGGGGAGTGGGTGGGTGGGTGGGAGGGTGGAGTGAGTGGACGGTTGAGTGAGTGGACGGTTGAGTGAGTGGGTAAATAGATGGGTGGGTGAGTGAGTGAGTGGACGGTTGAGTGAGTGAGTGGATGGTTGAGTGAGTGGGTAAATAGATGGGTGGGTGGGTGAGTGAGTGGATGGTTGAGTGAGTGGACGGTTGAGTGAGTGGGTAAGTAGATGGGTGGGTGAGTGAGTGGGTGAGTGGACGGTTGAGTGAGTGGGCGGTTGAGTGAGTGAGTGGACGGTTGAGTGAGTGAGTGGATGGTTGAGTGAGTGGGTAAATAGATGGGTGGGTGGGTGAGTGAGTGAGTGGACGGTTGAGTGAGTGTGTAAATAGATGGGTGGGTGGACGGTTGAGTGAGTGGACGGTTGAGTGAGTGGACGGTTGAGTGAGTGAGTGGATGGTTGAGTGAGTGGGTAAATAGATGGGTGGGTGAGTGAGTGGGTGAGTGGACAGTTGAGTGAGTGGACGGTTGAGTGAGTGAGTGGATGGTTGAGTGAGTGGGTAAATAGATGGGTGGGTGGGTGAGTGGGTGAGCGGACAGTTGAGTGAGTGGACGGTTGAGTGAGTGAGTGGATGGTTGAGTGAGTGGGTAAATAGATGGGTGGGTGGGTGAGTGGACGGTTGAGTGGACGGTTGAGTGAGTGAGTGGATGGTTGAGTGAGTGGGTAAATCGATGGGTGGGTGAGTGAATGTATGGTTGAGTGAGTGGGTAAGTAGATGGGTGGGTGAGTGAGTGGGTGAGTGGACGGTTGAGTGAGTGGACGGTTGAGTGAGTGAGTGGATGGTTGAGTAAGTGGGTAAATAGATGGGTGGGTGGGTGAGTGAGTGAGTGAGTGGACAGTTGAGTGAGTGGACGGTTGAGTGAGTGGGTAAGTAGATGGGTGGGTGAGTGGATGGTTGAGTGAGTGGACGGTTGAGTGAGTGGATGATTGAGTGAGTGGGTAAATCAATGGGTGGGTGAGTGAGTGGATGGTTGAGTGAGTGGATTGTTGAGTGGGTGAGTGGGTGAGTGAGTGAGTGGACGGTTGAGTGAGTGAATGGATGGGTGGGTGAGTAAGTGGGTGCGTGAGTTAGTGGATGGGTGGTTGAGTGTGTAGATGGGTGAAAAGATGAGTGAGTTAGTGGGTGGGTGAGTGAGTGCGTGAGTAAGTGTATGGCTAAGTGAGTGGATTGTTGAGTGGGTTAGTGGGTGAGTGGATGAGTGAGTGAGTGAGTGGACGGTTGAGTGAGTGAGTGGACGGTTGAGTGAGTGAGTGAGTGGATGGGTGGATGAGTGAGTGGGTGAGTGGACGGTTGAGTGAGTGGACGGTTGAGTGAGTGAGTGGATGGTTGAGTGAGTGGGTAAATAGATGGGTGGGTGGGTGAGTGAGTGGACGGTTGAGTGAGTGAGTGGATGGTTGAGTGAGTGGGTAAATAGATGGGTGGGTGAGTGAGTGGGTGAGTGGACGGTTGAGTGAGCGAGTGGATGGTTGAGTGAGTGGGTAATAGATGGGTGGGTGAGTGGACGGTTGAGTGAGTGGACGGTTGAGTGAGTGAGTGGATGGTTGAGTGAGTGGGTAAATCTATGGGTGGGTGAGTGAGTGGATGGTTGAGTGAGTGGGTAAGTATATGCGTGGGTGAGTGAGTGGGTGAGTAGACGGTTGAGTGGGTGGACGGTTGAGTGAGTGAGTGGATGGTTGAGTGAGTGGGTAAGTAGATGGGTGGGTGGGTGAGTGAGTGGGTGTGTGAGTTAGTGGATGGTTGAGTGAGTGGATTGTTGAGTGGGTGAGTGGGTGAGTGGGTGAGTGGACGGTTGAGTGAGTGAGTGAGTGAATGGGTGGGTGAGTAAGTGGGTGCGTGAGTTAGTGGATGGGTGGTTGAGTGTGTAGATAGGTGAAAAGATGAGTGAGTTAGTAGGTGGGTGAGTGAGTGCGTGAGTAAGTGGATGGTTAAATGAGTGGATTGTTGAGTGGGTTAGTGGGTGAGTGGGTGAGTGGACGGTTGAGTGAGTGGATGGGTGGGTGCGTGAGTTAGTGGATGGGTGGTTGAATGCGTAGATGGGTGAAAAGATGAGTGAGTGAGTGAGTAGATGAGTGAATAGATGAGTGAGTTAGTGGGTGGGTGATTGGGTGAATGAGTGGGTGGGTGAGTGAGTGCAGAAGTGAGTGGATAGTTGAGTGAGTGAGTGGATAAGTAAGTGCATGGATGGGTGAGTATATGATTGAGTGGGAGAGTCGGTGAGTGAGTTCGTAAGTAGGTGAGTACACGGATGGTTGAGTGAGTGGATTGCCGAGTGGGTTAGTGAGTAAGTTTGTAAATTGGTTAATACATGGATGGGTTAGTGAGTGGATTGCTGAGTAAGTGGATAAGTGGGTGGGTAGATGGCTGGGTGGGTGGCTGGGTGGGTGGGTAGATG